TTCCAGGAGGATCTGTGTTTATGGGAAATGATCATGCCTTGGAGATCGCTGGTATTGGTATAATCAAATTAAAAATGTATGATGCTACAGTTCGCACTATCCAGGAGGTACATCACGTAAAAGGTCTAAAGAAGAATTTATTGTCTCTAGGACAATTGGATAGCATTGGATGCAAGACCCATATACAAGATGTGATCATGAAAATAGTTAAAGGCGCGCTTGTGGTGATGAAAGCAGAAAGATAGCTGCAAATTTGTACATGCTTAAAGGAGAGACACTACAAGAAGGAGAAGGATTTGTGGCATCGACAGGTTCAGTAGAAGAATTAATGATGATGTGGCATCGCAATCTTGCTTACATGCCGGAATGTGGTTTGAAAATTCTCTCAGAACAAAAGCTTGTTCCAGGGCTCAAAAAGGTTTCATTACCCTTTTGTGAACATTGTGTTACTAGTAAGCAGCATAGATTGAAGTTCAGCAGTTCTACTGCGAGAAGTAAAGCTATCTTGGAGCTCGTCCATTCCGATGTTTGGCAAGCACCGGTTATATCCCTAGGAGGTGCAAGATACTTTGTATATTGATGATTACTCCAGGAGATGTTGGGTGTGTCCAATCAAAAGGAAGGTAGACGTGTTTGCAGTCTTTAAAATATTCAAAACGCGTGTGGAGCTTGAATATGAAAAGAAGATCAAGTGTTTGAGGACTGATAATGCAGGAGAATATACCGATGATGAATTTGCTAACTTCTGTCAACAAGAAGGTATCAAGAGACAGTTCACTATGGCATACACTCTACAGCAAAATGGAGTGGCAGAGCGGATGAACAGAATATTGTTAGAAAGAACAAGGGCAATGATGAGGACTGCGGGGTTAGCCAAATCGTTTTGGGCAGAAGCAGTCAAAACCGCCTGTTATGTGATCAATCGGTTGCCATCAACCGCAATTGGTCTGAAGATGCCTATGGAAATGTGGACTGGTAAACCAGGTGATTATTCTTACTTACATGTGTTTGGAAGTCTTGTGTACATTATGTACAACACCCAAAAAAATCCAGAAAATGTATTTTCTTAGGATATGCTGATGGAGTGAAGGGGTAACGTCTGTGGGATCCCACTGCCCACAAGGTGAGAATCAGCAGAGATGTCATATTTGCGGAAGGCAAAATACAGGAAAAAGAAAATAATAGTATTTCAAAAGACAAACTAGAGACTACTACAGTCGAAGTTGGAGACGAATGAGAAGTTATAGATACTTCTGAAGCAACACTAGAGCACGAAGAACAAGCTGAATCTAGTGCTGCAGATGTTCGACGATCAACACGGGAGAGAAGAGAACCGGCTTAGCACTCAGATTACATTATGGAAGGCAATGTTGCATACTACTTACTGACAGAAGATGGAGAGCCATCAACTTTCCACGAGGCTATAAATAGCTAAGAAGTTTCTCAGTGGATAGCTGCAATGCAAGAAGAAATTGAAGCTCTTCATAAGAACAAGACATGGAATCTTGTTCCACTACTACAAGGAAGGAAGGCCATTGGGAATAAATGGGTATATAAGATCAAACGAGATGGCAATGACCAAGTGGAGTGGTATTGTGTGAGACTGGTGGTGAAGGGATATGCTCAGAAAGAAGGCATTGACTTCAACGAAATATTTTCTCCAGTGGTTCGACTCACAACAATTCAAGTAGTCCTGGCGATGTGTGCTACATTTAACTTACACCTGGAACAGTTAGATGTGAAATCTGCATTTTTCAATGGAGAACTTGAAGAACAAATTTATATGCTCCAACCAGAAGGTTTTGAAGAAAAAGAAAAAGAGAACTTGGTTTGCAGGTTGAACAAATCTCTATACGGTCTCAAACAGGCGCCGTGATGTTGGTATAAGAGATTTGATTCCTTCATCATGAGCCTTGGATACAACAGACTTTGTTCAGATCCGTGTGCATATTACATGAGATTTGGTGATAATGATTTCATTATCTTGATGTTGTATGTTGACGACATGTTGGTAGCAGGTCCCAACAAAGATCATATTGAAAATCTGAAGGCTCGATTGGCTAGGGAGTTTGACACGAAGGACTTGGGATTGGCAAACAAGATTCTAGGGATGCAAATTTACCGAGATAGAAATAATAGAAAGATTTGGCTTAGTCAGAAAAACTACTTGAAGAAAATCTTGCGTCACTTCAATATGCAAGATTGTAAGCCAATTTCTACCCCTCTTCTTATTAATTTCAAGTTATCCTCAAGTATGAGCCCTAGTAGCGAAACGGATAGGATGGAAATGTCTCAAGTACCGTATGCATCAGCAGTGGGTAGTTTGATGTTTGCTATGATCTGTACAAGACCAAATATTGCACAAGCAGTGGGAGCGATTAGTCGATACATGGCAAATCCTGGTAAAGAGCATTGGAATACTGTAAAGAAGATCCTGAGATATGTCAAGGGTACCTCAAATGCTACATTATGTTATGGAGGATCAGATTTTATTGTCAGAGGCTATGCTGATTCAGATTATGCAGGTGATCTTGATAAAAGCAAGTCCACCACAGGATATGTGTTTACTCTTGCTGGAGGAGCTGTAAGCTGGGTTTCGAAACTGTAGTCTATCGTGGCTACTTTCACGACGAAGGCAGAATATGTGGCAGCTACACAAGCTAGCAAAGAGGCAATCTGGCTACAAATGTTAATGGACGAGCTTGGACACAAACAAGAGAAGATTGCTCTATTTTGTGATAGTCAGAGCACTTTGCATTTGACAAAGAATCCAACATTTCAGTAGAGGACAAAGCATATGCGAGTTCAATATCACTTTGTTCGAGAAAAGGTGGAGAAAGGAAGTGTGAATATACAGAAAATCCATACAACCGACAACCTAGCTGATATGTTGACAAAGCCAATTGAAATTGACAAGTTTATATGATGTCGATCTTCTACTGGCCTTGCAGAAACGTAAGTAGCATGAAAATGACAAGTATGAGAAGGATGAAGTGGTCAACAAAAGTGACTTTAAGTTAGAGAAATGTTGAAAATAAAGTCACAATTTTTTACCATAAAATATTACTTAACAAGTAAGAAAAATACATATATGCATGTAAGTGGTGGTGGCGGCAAAATTGGAGTTTCCAACTAATGATAGCTACATTTTTTTGACCTAAGGTGTTGATTTCTTAATTGTTAAGAAAGACTCCATGCATGCATACAAGAGAGGTTGAGAAATTCAATTTTTCTTTTTCCATTTACTTGACAAGCCAAATGTGTAGAGAATTCTAGCAAATGAAGGTGGTAGAACTTTGACTCTTCCAAGCAATTATGGAAGTTAAAAATCTCTATAAATATGGGCAAGAGTTTGAGAGAAAGTGTGCCATATGAAGCAGAAAAATTAAGAGAGAAAATTGTAAAGTAGAGAGAACAGTAAAGAGAAAATTTATTGTTTTTCTCCTAAGTTTTTTTTCCTACTTGTTTTCTCCTATAACAAGAGAGATTATTCGTTGTTATTTCTTTATATTTAGAGAGTATGTTGTAATTCTCTTATTATAGTGAAATCCTCCTATACTTGTCTGTGGACGTAGTCTAAATTGGGTGAATCACGTAAATACCTGTGTCTATTTTTAGCTGTGTTTTCTCAATTCCATTATTTGTCAGCCAAACTCGACCCACGCGTTTTCCCCCAACAGTCATCATTCGGAAAATGAATAAAAGTTATGTTTGATGGGAATTAAAATGAAATTTTTAGTTGGTTGATAAAAATTAATGAGACGTTGCTTGTATGGTTGAAAAGTTTGAGTAAACTTAATTCAAAAGGCGCGAGTTCCTCTCCCATCATTAAAGCCTACACGGGTGCATAAGTGGGGCCCTGGACACTCTTATGTACATTAATACGTACCCATGGAATAATTCAGGCCTACACAATCCACAAGTAAAACAACGATGGCACAAAAATTTTCCCATTGTATTCTCTTGTTTTTTCTGATTTTTCCGACTTCTTCATATGCAGAAATTGCATCCAATCTCGAATTCCCAAGAACACAGGCAGAAAAATTTATTAGATCCCTCAACTTGTTTCCCAAGCACGATGTTAACCATCATGTTGATGGAAGCTGTGAAGTCACTGAAGTGGGCGAATCGAGAATTGCCGAAAAAAGGATTGAACTCCCGTATCTAGGTGATTCTGGGGCGAATGTGAAAGACTTGGGCCACCATGCTGGTTATTACCGACTTCCCCACACAAAAGATGCAAGGTATTAACTATTTTGAGAATTGAGATTTACATTTTAGTTCTATCAAGATTTATTTCAGTAAATTGAGCTCATGCGATTAACAAATTGAAAACATAATTTAAATCAGTGAGTATGCCTTCTTTAGCAAGTTTTAGCTTTTACCTAAGGTGGTATTAGAGCCCACAGAAATTTCGGTGTCATTCATTCCTCACAATTGCGTATGAGTAAGGCATTTGACGAAAACAAAAAAGAATCGGGGATGCCTATTTAGGATCTAGCATGTTTGGCTACACTTCAAAATGTAAAAGTAAAGTTACCCATAAGTAAACTTTTGTCTTCGTACGCATTAGGATTTAGGATAACTTATTCTTAAGTGACAAAGTTAAACTTTTTGCTTATGGGCAAAATAAGTAACTAGCTTTTTTGCTTTTTTAAGCTTATCCATGCACGCTCATAATTAAAGAAATGAGTTTGTCACCTCTTTTATACCTTAAGTTGGTTCAATGTGATGTGATACCACAAAACGGTTCAGGAAAAATCAGCTGTTCTTTGCAAAATAAACTGAGGTTCATTGTGGGATTAAAATTTTTTCAATGTAGAAGTAAAGATTGAGTGCGAAAAATGGTTAAAGAAAGTAACTTTTTAAATTAAAGAACTCATAAAAGTTACTTGAGTTGATGTCACGGGATTTTCTACTCAATTGCTTGAGATGACGTTGCAGGATGTTCTACTTTTTCTTTGAGTCAAGGAACAGCAGGGTGGACCCTGTTGTTATATGGTTAACAGGAGGACCAGGGTGCAGCGGTGAATTGGCTTTGTTCTACGAAAATGGTCCTTTTCATATAACAAGAAACATGTCTCTTGCTTGGAATGATTTTGGTTGGGATAAGGTACTAGTAGCATCCTTTCTAAAGAAAATTTATTTAGGTTTTGGTTGTGAACTAAACTAAACTTTTATCTGTTGAATATAGGACCAGATTATGGTTCCTACTTTTTTTTAATAGAAGCATCCAATTCAAGTCCTACTTGTAATATGCTGAGAGACTACCCTTAGTCAATGTGCAAGAAGATACTTGTGAATTAAATTTTTTTGCAGTTCGTAATTTGGAATTGGAATGTTCGCTTGGAGGCTCTCTATACACTTATGCCTTGATTGCAGATTGACCTAATTGGATGTTCCATATTTGTATTACATTGTTGAAATGATCCTAGATATAAAAGATTTTCAAGGGGCCGTTATCAATGCAACATAGATTGAGAGGAGTGAGATCAACATTGTGAACTTCTTCTCAATAGCGAATTTTTACAGCGGCAAGTGGTTATAGTTCTCACATTGAAGATGAACCACAATAAATGTGTGTATTTGCGTTGCAAATTTTGATTTATGGTGGCTTATTATTGCTCTGAAATTTGGGAATTTGGATTAAGATAGTCAAAGAGTAGGCATGTATGATTAGCAGGTGGGGGAGAAAATGTGATGGGACAAACTTATTACGAGAATATCGCATTATGTTCCACGAGATTTGGAAAGAAATCAATATCAAATTCTTGCTTCTTCTATCAGAACTTGCGGATGCTTGATTGATACTGAAAGCAGTACCAAAAAAAATTAAATTTACTGGAGTGATAGGACAATTATTGTTAGTTATGATATCAAAAGGGAAAAGTATGCGCTTTCTTCGGCTCTATGTGTAAAGCTTTACAGGAATTTCACTAGATTCATTATGAAGTAGAAATCTGCCGTATTCTGTATTAAATTTCAATTCTGATGTTGTTTTCACAGAGACTATGCTACTATTTCATTTTTAATAATTTTTTATGGGAATTTCCTTGATAAAGCCTGACATAATTGTAGTGAATGGGATTATAATTGTTATTATTATTATTATTATTATTATTATTATTTTTTGGGTTAAATATTTCAGAAATAACTAACTTGTAATAGCACTTTTGTTATGTAGTCTTCATTTTAAAACTTCTACTCCAAAGATTTTAGGGGACTCAAATTTATCATTCCTGTGAATGATTGCATATCAACTAATATGCTGATAATATCAAATGTCTCAATTCCAGGTTTCAAACCTTATATAGTTCTCACACTGATGATATTCGGCACAGTGAAGACGGCGTCAGCAATGATCTATACAACTTCTTGCAGGTCTATTTCTATATCTTTGTATTTCACCAAAATTATGAAATCCATAAATTGAAATAGCTACTTAATTTCTATCTTGGTGAATAAAGGAATTTTTGTCTCATGGTTGGTAGGAAGAATTTGATGGTGGACGGTGGAAAAGAAAAATAAGTTAAAATTTGTTCAGTATACATTGCATACCAAACATTCAATTAGGATTGTTGATAACAAAAATCTGCTACACCTCAACAAATTATAAGACTGGCTTATGTTGCACTTTGTATTTGATGCTGTTAGGCATTTTTTAAGGAGCATCCCCAGTATGTTAAGAATGATTTTTACATTACCGGAGAATCATATGAGGGGCATTATATTCCGGCTTTAGCAGCTCGAGTACACAGGGGAAACAAAAATAAAGAAGGAGTTTATATTAACCTGAAGGTAAGTTTCAATTACTTTTTCTAAGTACTTTCAGATTCCAGTTCACAGCCTGATTATTTGATTCATCACTCATGGTTGATCAGGGAGTTGCTATTGGCAATGGACTTACAAATCCAGAAATCCAATACAAAGCGTATACTGATTATGCTTTGGACATGCAATTGATCAAACAATCTGATTACAAAAGCATGAGCAAGTCAGTTTTACAATGCGAGCAGGCGATAAAGCTCTGTGGTAATTCCTAATTTCCGGCTCTGTAGACAATCTGAACCTCCCCACTCCCTCCCTGCAATTTTTACTCTACTTACTGATGTGATTCATGATAATTAGCTGTTATTTCTTCTTCATCTGAAATAGAAATTCGATTCCAGGCACCGAGGGTGGAACCTTTTGTGTTGGGGCATACGTGTTCTGCAACACCATTTTCAATAAGATAGTGGAACTTGCGGGTGATAAAAATGTAAGCAAGCTTAACATAGTTGGGAGTCTTGATATTTATCTAATTGCATGATTGACAAAGCTTAAATTTTTTCTAGTGCTTATAAGATATTTTGACCAGCTTAGAAAAACTTAAACTTTGACAAAAATATACATAGTACATAGGTTACAAAAACACAGAAAAACATTGTTTAATGCAAGAAGCATTTGTTTTGTCATTCATTTGCAGTATTATGATATCCGAAAGAAGTGTCAGGGTAGCTTGTGCTACGATTTCTCTAATGTGGAGAATTTCTTGAACCAAGAATCGGTTAAAGACATTCTCGGTGTTGGGAACATAGATTTTGTTTCATGCAGTTCTGCAGTACACGAGGCGATGATCATGGACTGGATGAGGAATCTTGAAGTTGGTATTCCTTCACTCCTAGAGAATGGAATCAAATTACTTGTATATGCTGGAGAGTATGATCTCATATGCAACTGGCTTGGTAAGCTTTATTTATCAATGATTTTACTTATCAGTTAATCTACATAAAATATTCACTTTTGAACTTTTTGGCGTTGGACTGTGGAGCCTAATCATATTGCACACTTGGGTATTCCAGACAATATGCAAATTCATTTTTAGAGCAATATTCTATGCATGAATTAGATCGTTCTGATACTGTTACTATATAAAGGATTTACGCAGCCTGTTTTGTATGCGTGTGAGGCCTGAGATCGCTTTGTACTCTTCTCCTCCATTAATGTGAAAACCTGCAACAGCAAACAGTCAACATTGAGGCTGGATTACTATTACTGGCTGCTAGGCTTGCTTCATGAGATTGAGAGGAAATCGGGAAGGGACTCATAAAACCGGGCTTGCTTGAATTCTACCAATACTCATTTTTGTTTCAAATTGACAGGAAATTCGAGATGGGTTCATGCCATGGAATGGTCTGGCCAAAGAGAATTTGTAGCAGCTTCAACCGTCCCATTTTCAGTAGACAGAGTGGAGGCTGGACTTCAGAAAGCCCATGGGCCTCTAACTTTCCTTAAGGTCTATAATTCTGGTCACATGGTTCCTATGGATCAGCCCAAAGCATCATTAGAAATGCTAAGAAGGTGGATGCACAACAGACTGACAGATGATCACCTTGTACCTATGTGATTGCCACCTCTAAACAGGTCATGCAATCACTTGTGGCATGTTCGTTACAATGGACTTGATAATATTAAAGAAGAAAAAGAAGTTTAGATATTGTCCATTATACTATGGCCCTGTTTGGTAGCCATTTTTTTCAAAATGCATTTTTTTCTCTCTTCTTTTCAATCACGGATTCTTTATTAAAATAATATTACACGTAAATCAAAAAAATTTCCTTATTTATCAACCACACATTTCACATTAATTTACTATTCTAAAATACATTTTTACATAAATATGTCTATCAAACACCCTCTATATATATCGATCCTGTGCATACCAAATATGTGGTTTATAACTTTTTCATGTGGATCAATATAGAAATTTCAAATTGGTAGCAGCCCTTTTGAGTAATTACAGTTACTAGGCTATAAACTGAGGAAGCCTAGCCCCAGTTTGAGCTCCATTATTTTACATTCTTTTCTATTATTTTTTGTACAGTACTTATTTTCAACCACAGATTTTTCATTAAAATAATATTACATGCAAATAAAAAAATTTCATTCTTTTTAACCTCACATTCTTTATCAATTACTGTTTCATAATACATTACTTCAAATTAATGGAGCTCAAACGGGCCCTAATCTCAGTAGTTGGTACTGGGATAAGAGAGAGAATTATCAAAGACACTTCCTAACTAGGCTAACTTTATAACAATATGAGATTCTCACTCACCTTTTAAAAATCATGCTAAGCCCAATTTCTAATTTTCGACATCACATACATTCCAAGACTACTTTTTGAGCTATATATCATCTCAAATGATGTTGATATATCTAAAATGTTATTGTGAAGCAAAAGATGAAACTTCCTACAATTAATTATAATTTATTTTTTTTCCTTTTAATAATAAACTAATACTTAAAGACTGTGTGTATACATGACACGGTGCGAAATAAGGAATTTAAGTGAAAACTTTACGAACACGAAATTTGAAATCCAATAAATTATGAAGAAAAATAAATTCACAAATTTTATTAATGAATAATAATGAAAATAATGAAATAATTCTTTATTTATAATGGTTTACATGGAAACGTAGTTTAAAACAAGTAAAATTAATGAAAAAAAAGTTTGAACAAACTAAAATTGAAAAAAAAAAATTCAAAATAAACTAAATGACAAAAATAAAGTTAAAACTTTAAAAATCAGTTTTTGAATCCTAAACAAACTCGAATTGTCGAAATCCATCATACATCACAACACAGCTGTGAGTATTGCTCGTCTCGACGTCCTCTTCTTGGAACGGTTTTATGAGCCCAATTAGAAATTCGAATGTTTTCCCTCTGCTATTATCTTTTCCAGCAATCACTTGTGGCATGTTCGTTACAATGGACTTGATAATATTAAAGAAGAAAAAGAAGTTTAGATATTGTCCATTATACTATATATATCGATCCTGTGCATGCCAAATATGTTGTTTATAACTTTTTCATGTGGATCAATATAGAAATTTCAAATTGGTAGCAGCCCTTTTTGAGTAATTACAGTTACTAAGCTATAAACTGGGGAAGCCTAGGCCCAGTTTGAGCTCCATTATTTTACATTATTTTTTTTACAGTACTCATTTTCAATCACATATTTTTCATTAAAATAATATTACATGCAAATAAAAAATTTTCATTCTTTTTTAACCACGCATCCTTTATCAATCACTATTCTATAATACATTACTTCAAATTAATGGGGCTCAAACGGGGCCATAGTTTCAGTAGTTGATACTAGGCTAAGAGAAAGAATTATTGAAAACACTTCCTAACTAGGCTAACTTTATAACAATATGAGATTCTCACTCACCTTTTAAAAATCATGCTAACCCCAATTTCTAGTTTTCGACATCACATACATTCCAAGACCACTTTTTGAGCTATATATCATCTCAAATGATGTTGATATATCCAAAATGTTATTGTGAAGAAAAAGATGAAACTTCCTACAATTAATTATAATTTATTTTTTTCCTTTCAATAATAAACTAGTACTTAAAGACTGTGTGTATACATGAGATGGCGCGAAATAAGGAATTCAAGTGAAAACTTTAAGAACACAAAATTTGAAATCCAATAAATTATGAAGAAAAATAAATTCAAAAATTTTATTAATGAATAATAATGAAACCAATTAAATAATCCTTTATTTATAAGGGTTTACATGGAAACATAGTTTAAAACAAGTAAAATTGATGAAAACAAAGTTTGAACAAACTAAAATTGGAAAAAAAAAAATCCAAAATAAACTAAATGACAAAAATAAAGTTAAAACTTAAAAAATCAGTTTTTGAATCCTAAACGAACTCGAATTGTCGAAATCCATCATACATCACAACGCAGTTGTGAGTATTGCTCGTCTCGACGTCCTCTTCTTGGAACGGTCTTATGAGCCCAATTAGAAATTTGAATGTTTTCTCTCTGCTATTATCTTTTCCATTTTTATGAACTTCTCTTGTATCCATTCATCAATATGTCCTACATCAATACATAGTTCTAAATATGTGTGCTAGTGCAAATTTAAATCTAAAATTTGTTGAAAATTTAGGCAATACATGATTTGAAAATTTTATTGTATTATGTTAACATGCATAAACTTCTTAATGGAAATTTATATTATACAATAAACTAAAAGTTTACATTTCACGTAAAATCCAAGCATGTGAAAATTTTCGTCCCTAATAGTATACGAGATGGAGGTGGAGAACATGGTTCTCACCTGAAATCAGCAAACTCGTACCAAATATTGGGTTTTATTGTATTATATTTTTACTTTTATGTTTGCAATTTAAAAATATTTTTAAAAAATAAAAATAATATTAAAAATAAATAATTAATTAATCAGGAAGGTAAATGATGATTTTTTTTAATTTTTTTTTAGCCTCGATTCCTAACAATTCCCAATGGAGAAGGTTAATAATGGATGTGACTATGCCGCCTTGTTCCATTGTAATCTCTAGTGGAATTTACCTAAATAATAATATACATTAGTTCATCAAAATATTATATACCTTCAAAATTAATAATTAAAATATATGTTCACACAAATAATGCCACGTATAAAAAAAGAAGAAGCAAATTTATATGATTAATATCTAAACTATGTCGAACCGGTTCTATACACAACATACCAATTTATATTCTTAGAGTTTATATTGAAGAAATTAAATATTGCAAAAAATTTCATATTTTTCTTCATAATGACATTTTCGTTATATCAGCCTTATTTTAAATAATATACGGCTCAAAATGTGGTCAGAGTTATCTGTGATATTCAAAATTAAAAATAGATATGTATGGTGTTATTTCTAACTTTTTAGTACATAATTACCTATTAATTATTTATATTGCAAGTCCTTTCCATTTTTACTTCAAACAAAGGAGTGATGTTATTCATATTTAGCGACTATAGTAGTTATTCTACATGGTATCTTGATATTCGAGACATTAATTTCCTGCAAATCGGTTATCTCAAACAATAAGCTAATACCTTAAACCAGGGGGCGGAGCCATTCACAGTCCAGTGTGGGCAAATGCTCGCATTGAACTTTTGAACTTCGCCCCATTTCTCAAAGCATTGGAAGAAGATAAACCAGATGAGGCATATGTAGAGCGAAGCCAGTTAAGGACCAGCGTCGGACCCGCACTGGAATTTTCGGCACTGAAATTTTCAGCTGGAGTTGAAGACAGTGTCTGCACTGGGATTTTTGGCTAGCGAACAGAATAAGGTTGGATGTAGCCAGTAGCCCAAAATCACCATTGTTGCAGTCTCCATAAACACGAACGCATAGTGGAAGCCTGGAGGAAGAAGGGTAGATGAATTTTTGGGCCAATTTTTAAATTTTTTTTAGGAAAATTTCATAACTAAGAAATTAATTATGGCACATTTCAAAAACAAGAAAACAAGCTTCAAATTTCTAAAATCAGATTTTTATTAAAAATTATTTATAATTTAATTAGTTAATTAATTATTTTATTAATTAAATATATTTAGGTCACAGATCTATAGAATTTGGTCACAAATTAACAATATAATTAGTTACATATTATTTTTTGGTCACGAATCAAAAAATTTATGTCACAAATTTTTTTACGATCACATTTCAAAAAATTTGTAAGTCACAATTTGTTTATTGGTCACAAATTCAAAAATAATTAGTCACAGATTAATTTTTAGTCGCGACTTATCATATTATTGGTCACAACTTATTTTTCGGTCACAAATTAAAAATTTTATAGGTCACATATTATTTTTCGATCACGAATCAAAAATTTTATAGGTCACAGATTAATTTTTCGGTCACAACTCAATAAATTATAAGTCACAAACACAAATTTTATATGTCACAGATTAATTTTTCGATTAATTTTTCGATCACAACTCAATAAATTATAAGTCACAAACACAAATTTTATAGGTCACATATTATTTTTCGATTACGAATAAAAATTTTATAGGTCACAGATTAATTTTTCGGTCACAACTCAATAAATTATAAGTCACAAACACAAATTTTATATGTCACAGATTAATTTTTCGATTAATTTTTCGATCACAACTCAATAAATTATAAGTCACAAACACAAATTTTATAGGTCACATATTATTTTTCGATTACGAATCAAAAATTTTATAGATCACAGATTAATTTTTCGGTCACAACTCAATAAATTATAAATTACAAACACAATTTTTGGGTCACGTAATATTTATTTATTACAAATTAACCAATTATTGGCCCCATTCAACTTATTAATTGGTCACAACACATGTGACCACCGCCTAACCACTTCTTGCAATAGCCCACCACACCGCTATATCTAGAAATTTTATAGGTCACCGATTATTCAACGGTCACGAAATTAAAAATTTTATTGTCGCTATTCATTTACTCATAGTAAATTATTGAATTAATTGATCACGATTAATTTTTCGGTCACCATTTAATCAATTGAGAGTAACGGTCACATATTCAATGTCAAGTCACAATTGGGAGTCACAGTCACAATCACAATTATTAGCACAACCAACATCGCTGGCTGCGGTAGCCAACACCACCAACATCATCACCACTGCCACGACCACCATGACT